AAGCTCTTGGTGACGCCGAGAGAATCCGACCCTGAAGTCTAGCCCTCTGGACTTCGTTATTAATTTGTGCGTTCTCGTGACCCCGCGCGACCGTCACACTGCCGGTCAGGTCAAATTGCCCGGAAAACATCGGTTCTATGTTATCGACTCAAACGACGAACTAATTGTCACCAAGTACTCGCTACAGTCCATTGGCCTGGACATGACCAAGCTGCTCGAACAAGTCGCAGTCCGGCAAGGTGAAGGCGACCGCGTCGACATTGGAGACCCCAAAGAGGGCGAAGATGTCGCGTTCGATATGTGTGTGCGTTACACGAAGAGAACGTACAGCTTGATGCCGAAGACATGAGTGCTGCCGAGCATTTGTTCGAGCTGGCTATGAAGACCAATCCAACTTCGGTCGCGGGCGATGCAGTCCAGCGAGACCAGTTGAAGATGGTGGTCATAGACGCAGCAGCGGGCGGGGTGTGGCGAAGCAAGTTCCGTGGAACAGACCCGCCAGCAGACGTTGATCCGATGGTGATCCGACTCAAGTCCGATGCACCCCCATCGTTGCAAGCCGCGCAAAATGAACCCAATGTCGAGCATGTTTGTCGAAGCGTACGACAAGCAACTCGAACAAGACAACGTCATATGTGTGAACAACTCAAGCGAACACTGTGACCCTGTCAACCCGGTGATGAAGCCAGAAGGTAAGAGCTCGTGAAGACCAGCGATAAATGGACAACTAACGAGTTGGTGCAGTATTTTTGCTTGACGATTGATTACAGGATCATCAACAACCAGACCGTCCCGTTGGCTTGCGCGATGCCGCTCCAGTTCTAGTGCTGGAGAATGTCCGAGGTGCCCAGTGCCTCGGTGTTTTCGACGTTACGAAAGGTTTTTGGCAGGGGCCATTAGCACCAAAGTCTCAAGAATTGCTATCATTTATGCTTGGCTACCGCATTTTGACCCCAACGAGGGTAATGCAAGGACACTGCGACTCAGCATTGTCCTTCCAGAACACCATGTCCACCACTTTCAAAGATCTACGCTACAAGAACGTGCTTATTCGGATTGACGACATTCTCGCTTGGGGAAACACCCTCGAGGAATACGTCCAAGTGCTGCGCCAAGTGTTCGGAGATGGACAAACCTACCGACTGCGCCACAACCCAAGAAAGATCAGGCTAATGTGCCAAGAGATCAAATGGTGCGGAAGGATCATCGACGGGAGCGGGGTGCGCCAAGACCCTCAGCGAATCCAGGCGCTGTGCGAGATTCCTTACCCATTGACGGCTGGAGAATTACAGCAATTTATCTGCGCTGCCAACTGCATACGCGACAGTCTCATCGGATATGCAGGGACAATCTGTCCCTTGCAACAACGACTCATGGAAGCGTTGACAGGAATGAAACGGAAGAAACGAATCGCGCCAAGCATCATGATTGACCACACAAATGAGGAGAGAGCAAATTTCGACAAATCAAAGACCTTATGCTCAGCGTTGTCCAACTGTGCCATCCACATGAAGATGCCGAGATGTGCCTGTTCACAGACGCGTCCGCCTTTGGCTGGTCAATCGTGGTTACCCAAGTACACGGCTATGAAGCCGACACAACGATACACGAGCAACAACATCAATTACTCGTGTGCCAAAGCGGAACGGTCGACAAGACGCAGGTTAACTGCTCTGCTATTGAAAAGGAAGGTTATCCCATCGCGCGCATGCGATACATTGAAATACCTGTTGTTGCGCCCACAAGAATCTCATCGGAGTCTTCGCCTCCGACGACGAAATCAAGGCGCAAACGCGCGAGATTTCTCGCGCGTTGCGAAGTTGATGGGCCGACATGATTGGCCAGTACCGCTATGCGATACAACATATCGACGGTGTGCACAAACTATGGGCTGATCTCATGAGCCGTTGGGGTATTCCGCAGCCCATGTAGGCAAAAGTGCGACGACTCCGCTGGACGCATCCGCCTAGGTTCCGACACTATGCTTTCCGACGCTGCGGCTCTCGACAGTATGTTGGCGCTCTGCGTAAATGGACCCAAAAGAAAAAGCGAACCGCGCCCAAGCATGTGTACACACCGCCGCAGGCGAAGATTCGCCCGCTAGACGACGAGGACTTCATCTGGCCGGACCTCGCCACAATCAAGGACGCCCAGGACAGATGAGTATTTTGAATCCAAATATATGAACGGAAGGAAGAGAGAGAGCTGAATACCAATTAAACACGTTCGCACCAGAATTCATCCAATTAAATCATCTACGTTGGATTGGACAAAGTTCACTGTATCCAATTTAAGAAGTGCTTCTTTTTTGCTTTATAAAACCAACTGTTATCCGGATGTACAGATAGCGATATTCCAGGTATTATCCGTATGATGTCCTCAGAGATGACCTTGATTCAACAATGCGCGCCAAAAAGAACCTGAGCGACAATGATCGGTGAGCCATCATACAGCAGTTAATGGCACACTTGGTCGACGACAAGAAGCTCATTCACGGAGCTCTCAACAAAATCGCTCTCGAGTTCGGAGTTCACCGAGGCACTGTGCAAAGGGTGTGGAAACAAGGATGTGCCGACCTCAACAACATGCTTAGACGTGTCATCGAGAATAAAAGGCCACAGCGGTCGGAACCTCAAACACCAGAATGTCGCCGAACGCATGAAAGCAATTCCCAAAACATCGCGAACGACCTTTCGTTCTATCGCCGCAGCAATGGGTATGTCGCGGTCCACCCTCCATGCTTACTACCGACGAGGAATCTTGTGTTGAATTGGCCCAGCTATTGGACTTGAGCAACTTGCTTTCAACATATATTTGTCTGTATTGCAATGTGATACTTTTTCAAATTAGTATTGTTGCAATCATTCATGAACTTCAATATTTTCAGAGGTAGTACATACTTCAGGAAGGCTGAGGGGGCAGGACCCGCGTGGCCATTGACCAGCATACTAAAGTCATACTGCACACCAGGTCATCAACAGGGCTACTAGAGACACGATACTAGACATTCACAGGGATTGCAGTGGGTCAAACAATCGGGCGTCCTAACTGCCCTGCACAGCAGAACGCTTTCCTGTTTCAAGGGGGACCAAGGTTGGCTATCATGCCCGAGACATGATTTTCGTTTCTGTGGGCGGCGCACCACTTGCGCTGCCCGACCGGTATGTCTACAAGTAAGTTCTCGGAGGTTATCATTGCCGAGGTTGGGGTTGAGCAGGGTATACTCGACGAGCTGAATCGTGACCGCTGCAAACGGGTGGCCACACGACAGCGTGAAGCAAACGATCGCGTCCGCGAGATTCACGATAGATGTCTTGGCTTGGGTGTTGCGGATGAGGAGGATGAGCGGCGACACACAGCAGTACAAGATCACAATGACGGCGTACGATATGACCTTGGACGGGTCCACCAGGTTCTGGAACATCGAGTACGCTTGGCAGCATTGGCTCGCCGTCTCGACGGAATTGAACACAAGGATCAAGTGATCGAACCACTTGTCGAATGCCTGTCGGATCCGCTTTCGGCGTGGCCTACTTGGAACCGCTCGGACGGTAGGGCCCACTCGGCTCGCTGCCTTTGGACGCACACATACGGTGGTCACGATTTCGCGGAAGTGGGACCCTGCGAGCGCGTAAAGCACGGGCGTCACGTACGGCTCGTACACTCGAATCGTCACTAAATCCGCCGCTGTCGCGGTTTGCAATAGCGTCGTCAACGTGGCCAAGTATACCATCACCACCGTGTGCATGACCACGACCGTCGCGATGAGGCACTTCGTTGCATGCTTTGTAGGATGTGGCCGTGATGAAGCTCGACCCAACGGCGCTATCATGGCGATGCACTGGCTGACGAAATGCACGAAACTCCCGCCATGCAACTTACCGCCGTTACATTTCCCATCGTGTAACGGCCACGTAACGTCACGTATGACGAGACGGTGTGCGTTGTCAGATGCGCTTCCCAGAAAAGCAGACGACCGTGCCACAGTCGCCGCCCTACGGGCGAAACCAGGGCGGCAGCATGCTATCTTGCGGTCGGGAACGGGCAGCCAGTCCTGACACAGATGCTTGTGGCGACGGCTCCCACGACGACTTCTTGTTCTCGCGGAATCGTGATCTACGTGCAACACCCGTGTCGGTGTGCAGTACCGTTGGCGTACAGTGCTGGTACGGCGTAGGCAAAATGAAGTGTACAGTCAGTACCCTAATACCCTAGTATATAATTCACTTTTGTTTTTTCTTGAAAGACAGTGTGAGTCACCAGCGATTCACTTGCCGAGTCGGGGGCCTAGAAGTGACAACATAGTATTTAGTAACAGTTGCTGTTACAACTTTTCCGTCGTTCAGTGGAGAACGACCTTGACGTGAATGGAATCTGAAGACTTCGACGAACGCGCGCCAGAGGAGTGTGTCGCGAATGGGATCACGAAGCCCGAGTGGAGGTGAGAGGTTCGAGTCGCCGCGTGGACGACAACATCAAAATGTTGCCAGCTGACAGACACACGAAAGTAGAATGCACCGGTGTCAGCTCCAGTAGCCGCGTCCGCTGCACAGTCCGATGGGGCGGCGGCGGAACCGGTGGCTGCTGCGGCCGGTACCACACTAACGCCGGCTTCGGAGCCGGCTCGCACGGCCCGTGCAACGTCAGCCGCAAGTGATACTGCAGATGGGCGTGATGATGAAAGCATGGTCGCCAGTGACCGGATGGTCTTCAACGCGCCAGCCATCCCACCAGCGCCAATGTTTAAGGGCTCGACAAAGGCCGATCGTTGTCAACTCATGAGAGAGTACTACCAGTACCTGGAGCAGGTGGCCGCATTGCAGACGACTACTTATGCATATGTTGAATAAAGCAGTTCCCTGCTCACTTGAGTTGCCTTTGGAATATAGTAAATATCAGGCTTAAAGAGTATGCATTTGAATGCCAAGTTGGCGCAAAACATAGCATGTCACCGACAGACAACTCCACACCGCACCGATAAGCGACGGGAAGACCTGTGTTCATAAATCGCAGACGTTTTGGTCCACCACTGCATCAAAGACTGTACTCTACGTACGCCAAGCAGCTCAACATTATCAACTGGAGAAAGTGCACTCAATGGACTCCGCACTTTACCGCTTCTTTGGCGGGGCTCAAGGACTGCACGACTGTCCGCACAATAAGAGAGCTCCGCTGGGGAAGTAGCCGCGCTCATATAACGAAGAAAGCTAGTAATCCTGCTACCGCGTCGCAAAAGAACTCACGTCTCCTCGGCGATAAAGAGCACGATGAACAAAGCGTCAACTGGATAAACGATCTTCGTTCAGACGGAATTCCCGTGAGTCGTTTCCTGTTGCAATGTAAGGCGCTAGAAGTAGCAAAAGACGCTGGGATCAAGGAATACGAGTTCAAAGCTAGCCAACTTTGGGTTGCGAGTTTTATCAAGCGCTGGAAGCTAACTATGCGAGCGAAGACAAGATCTGGTCAGTCCAACCTAGAACGCGGTCAAGCTGCGTTGGCAGAGCTCAGCAGCCGCATACGCAACTTGATCGCAACCGAAGATACTACTCTGACTGGTAATAAGTGCAGACGGTGACAAAAAGGGGTGATAAAGTTATCGGATTGGGCTAAAGTGGATAGAAATTTACGATTCTCGTCGTATTTTTTGCGGAATTTCATGTGCACAACTGCATTTGCTGCATACTACTCTGTTCCAGAATAGTTGCAGGGTACGTCGTCCGATTGGCGGCATTTTTCTAAATGTCGCTCAAATTACGAGCTGATTAGTGTACAAGAAAGCTCAAGATATCTGCTTTGATTGGGTAGTTTTAGTTCTAGAGCTTTTCGGTTCATGAGATATTGGGCGCGAAATATCGGGTGTCCTTTGGTCCAAACTTCGACACATTGCCGTATCATCACAACTCATTTCAGCAAGCACGCGCAGCACACAGCCATCAAGCTTTACTGAACCATGCCATCGCAGCCCACCGCCGTCATTTCCGACCGCCCGCGCAACCCCCGTGGGCCGATAGGTGGCAAAACCCACCTTGACTATGAAGATCGGCGCTCGATCTATGAGAGCCTGCTTGCCGTCTCGTCATCTGGCACACTGCCTCGAGGCGCCATAGTAAAGCTTGCCAAGCAGCACGAATGCCATCCCGACACTGTGTCTCGCGTATGGGCACGTGGACGGAGCTCCATCCGAGCGGGCCACATTTGTGCCGAAGTTGCATCAAAAATCCGAGGTATACCTTATCAATCTATATGATTATTGAATTTGAAGATTATTCATTTACCAAAAATGTTCTTTTTAGGGAATTCTGTTCGCAAAAAAACGCGCACGAGTGATCACATCGAAGACGCGATACGACAAGTGCCCCAGGCCTCGCGGCAGACGATGAGAGCTCTTGCTCATGCGTGCAACATTCCAAGGACGACGGTGTTTCGACACATGCAAGAATGTCCTCGGCTGAAGGCTCGTTCAAGGTATGTGAAGCCATTTTTGACTCCAAGAAATCTTGAAGAGCGCCTGCGGTACGCAATTTCTTTCCTTCGACCTTCGTTGAATGAAAATTATTTTTTTGACAATATGCACAACTTTGTGAATATCGACGAAAAATGGTTTTTTTTACGAGGGTGAAAAAGAAGTTTTACGTGTTCGAGGATGAATCTATGGCTACTCGTTTTGTGAAGTCGAAGCGATTTATAACAAAAGTTAAGTTTTTGGCGGCGATTGCCTGCCCTCGAGTTGACTTAAACGGCAACATATATGACGGCAAAACTGGCGTTTGGCCATATGTCGAAAAATTGCCTGCAAAACGCAACTCCAAGAACCGCACGAAAGGCACAATTGTGACGACTCCGAAATCTGTGGACTCCAATGTATATTTGGAAATGGTGTTAAATAATGTCGTGCCGGCAATAAAGGCCAAGTTCCCTCGCTCTACACAGCGATCGGGCTTAACAATCCAACAAGACAATGCCGGCCCACACAAATGCCTCACGACAAGTATGTTGGAGACGCGCGGCGCGTCCGGAATTGCAGTTACCAACCAACCCCCCAATAGCCCACACTTTAATGTCTTAGACTTAGGATTCTTTAATTCTATTCAAAGCCTGCAGTATCAAAAGTGTACTCGAACAATCGAGGAGCTTATTGATGCTGTGGAAATCTCGTTTTATGAATTGCCTATGGACACGGTGTCAATAACTTTCATCATACTTCAAAAGGTGATGGAGAAATGCATCAAAATTCACGGTAGCAATGATTATAAGCTCCCTCACATGAAGAAGGATGCGTTGATAGAGGACTTCACGGCCTTCAACTTTGAGTGCGATGCCTACAAGTACGAGAGTGCTTTGATCCATTTGAACTTCCGACTTGGGGAAGTGGCTTCCATGGAAGCACTCCTGAATTCTCAAGAATAAGGTCTTTTGGCAATTGAATAAAAATGCATTATATTTTTTGCCACATTTATTCGTTTCTGA